ATTCATAATTATAAAACTATCATTGCCATGAAATGTAATTGTTTAAATGTGTCAGCAGATTAAAAACGTCAAACAAAAGATGATTTTCTATCATATCTTTTTACTAACAAAAAATACGCATTCTTTTTTGTCCTTTATCAAATTTAACGTGACTTTTGATCACTTATCAGCACACCACAAACAAACATCTAAATGCTAAATTCTTATATTTGATCATGAACTTTACACTTTGGAATTATGCTTGCAGAGTCATGGAAAACAACTATTGTACACTTTTCATAACAGTATATTAAGAAATTCTTTTTCAGTTTATTCAATTTCTTTCGTGGATTTTTGTCAGCTGTTTACCTGGAGGGAAACTGTACACTCTCCACAGCTGACCAGATGCCTGCATGGGAGCAGAAGGATAGAAACCTAAACATGTAAAATTATGGTATAAAAATATTTCTAAGTATCTTTAGATCATCAATAAAAAATATATTTAAATAGTTACCTGTTTATCCAAACATACTTTACAAATGAGAGCAGAATTTTCTAAATCATCTGATGATTCAGAAACATTTCTTGTCTTGTCTGATACGGTCTTTTCTAAACAAAACAAAATTTCAATCATTTAAGGGACCGTTCACTAATTTGAGTAATTTTAGGTAAGCTGCCTAACAGCTATTTATATAGTATTAGTCTTGCTTTTTAAAAAAAAACCGTGGCCAGAGAAAAGCCAATCAATAGTTCAGATTTCCGACACAAAGGTATGAAACCTTTAAAAAATTCTTTAAAAATTTATTTTTGACTGTATTATCTTTTAAAAAAAGAAAAGTGCCAATGATTTTTAATCAAATTTTAAGCATCCTAGTTTAACATTGAGGGTAATATTTTAAAAATCTGCTTTTAACTGATGTTAAAATATTTGATCTTACCTTGTTCAATTTCTTGTTTAATTTCTAACTGCTGTCTTTCTTTTTTGTACATAGAAACATTTTCTTTCTTTGTCAGTTCAATAAACTGACAATCAGGGAAGGACCTAAATTATTACAAATTATATTTATGGTTTGGAATTATCAAACCGCAAAACTGTTTTTTTTCTTATTTTATCTTTTTAAAAGTCTAAACCGCAGTCTAGGACGCAGACCTTGAATGGCGCCTAATATTGAAATATAAAAAACAACATGGTAAAACACGTGAATGAGCTTTTAAATGAAATATAGGGTGTTCAAAATATCATACACCATCAAAATAATAAAATAATTTGTTAAACTTTAAGTGATTATATTGTAATTTCTATATTCTTCATATATTTTTTTGTTATTTCTTACATAACTGCAGCTAAAAACCACAAAATTCATAAATTTCACATTTCACCAAACTTGAAATAAATTGGCAAACATCTTTAGATTGAGAGCTAAGAATTTACTTGATATGTTCTTCCATTGGGTCATCTTGAGGTTCCCAGCCACAGAGCCCACCATTGCAATAGAAACACGTGACTTTATCAGAGAATCCTAGATAAAATGATAATTTCGTCTTTATATTAAAACATCAGTCAAAATGAAGAACAGCCTATTTAATCTTAACAACTCTTTAGTAACAACATCTTCAAGATAATTCTCAATAGGAACTTTAAAAAAAAAATGTTATTTTAAGATAACAAATATGCTGGCAAAAATACTGGCATTTTTGGCATTCAAATTAAAATATTTTATATTTTATGTTTAGCTTTATTTCTAAGTGCCAAATTTGTAATTTTTGATTAAAAAATTGTATATTCTCCTTGTTTTAAAACAAAGATGATTAAATTTTTACCTGTGTAAAAAAATCCAGCTTTTGCCATAGCACCAGGTTTTTGATTGAGACCAATAGGCCAATCATTGAAGGTATTGAATCTTGCTGGATATGATGCTAGATGGTTGTGTACTGGTCCATCATATTCTTTTACATGAAAAAACTAGCATAATCTAAAAGATAATCTAAAATGAGAAAATAAAAAAATAGTTTTTCCAAACAGTTGATCTTGATCAGCATTGTTTGTTGTTAGTCAAGAATTATTGTAAGTTGAAAAACTCTTCCTGCACAATGTCTTTGGAAAGGAACTGAGTCTTTGTCACAAACTCTGATTTTCTAACTCTTATATCTTTGCAACTCAATGTTGTAAGTCCTAGATATTTTAAACTATAAATTCTGCTAATTAATCAAAATTTTAAATATCAAAGGTACCATCAGGTTGCAAAGATATAGGGATTAGAAAATTCAATTTTTTTAAAAATCAATGTAGATTTAAAATCACACAAATAAAAAATAAAAAATAGAAAAAAAATGTTAAATTTAAAATTACTTGGAAGCGTTCGGTCGTTCTGTGTTCGACTGTGCTGTATTGGACTTTGTGGTGGCATATCAACATAATCTTGAAGCCTGGAACCAACAACATCTTCACCACCTTGTGCGTCACGGGGATTATCGGTTTCATCTTCTCCTACATCTGGTTGGGAGTTATTAGTTTCAATTTGGTACTCAGGAAGTTGGGAATAAGAGCCTGATTCATTATCTTGGGAATCAGAAGTTGAATTTAAATCAGAATTAAATTGGGATTCATTGCTAATTACTCTTTCATCATTTTTATGTTCTCCTGTATTCCTTAAATGAGCTACAGGAAGAAAAGGTAAAACTTCCATGTTTAAGTTATACCTGTTATTCTTGCACTGAGTTGGCATTTTTTATCTTTATCTTTATATAAACTTTCATTATCAAAACTTTTTTTATCAGCTTCATTCACCCTCCACTAAGCATTCGGTCGGCCTCGTACTGTACACAACTTCTGAGATATATTTTGTACCGTCATGACAATTACCACAAAAACTTTGTACCGGCACGACTTTCATTACTAAACTTAGGTACAGGTGACAACAACTTTCTCAGCATACAATTAGTCTAGTACTCGATTTGAAACTAACTAATTATAACCTCTAGTCAAGTTAAATAATGAAAACCATTAGTAGTTTCATGCAAAACGCTTCCATTTCTAAAGTAATTATTTTTTCGGCCGTTTTACAGCACTAATAATGCTGGAATGATTATTTTACTGATGGGGTAAACTAAATTATAATAGAAAATGTATGACCTACGCTCCGTATCCTCTCATTAGGAATCTTAGTGTAATCTCTCATAAAGCATGTATTAATACAATAGAAACAGCAGTAGAGTTAAAATCGTTTATTTACGAAATTTCAAATTTAACAGTTTCATTTTGACAAACATTTGGCGTTAAATTAAAAGCTTACTTTCAAAGAGGGTTAAAAAATTTTCTGAACTTAAATAACAAGTCAACTTTCTGTTTATATATATATTCGGATAAAATTCATAAAATAATGTCCATTTAAAACTTTCGTCAATTCTTTTTGAGTAACCATCTTTTTAGGAACGGTCGTTAAATTTTAAATATACATTTCGAAAAAAGACGACTTTCAAAACCGTCAGCATTAACTAATAACTTCTGGGTGTCTTATCGTTTGCACTAATGATCGATCGAACTAACGTACATTCGCACTAATGTTCATTCGGACTAACGTTTTATTTGAGGGTTCGGTTAGGTAAAGACAATTTCTAGGCCGAGCGCTGCAGCTAGGGGGCCAGGTGCTGCGGCCACAAGTGTTACTGATCAGCTGACTTTAGTGCAAAAGTACATTAGTTCAATCGGACATTAGTGCAAACGATATAGCACCAAGTTCAGTGGAATACTAACGACTTACATTTTCGTCTGAAAAAGATCTATCTAGGTTATTCTAGACTACATTTAAAGGATTTATAGGATATATTTATCAATCTTTAAAAAAAGTGATAAGGAGCATGCAAAAAAAAACTATTAATAACCAGACATGCATCAACTTCTAGCCAATTTACTAACTTGATTGAACAGCATTTTCTCCCACAAACAGTTCTAATCCTGAAAATAAAGTAAAAAAAACGAAAACAATTCTTAAAATTACAAAAACATGACGTTATCATAGGCAGTCAACATTTAGAACTAAGTTTACTATGTACACATCCAATCAAAAGATTCAAATATTTCACATTTCTTCACACTTCCACAATGTTCCATTTCAAAGTGATGCACTTTTTGACAGTTCTCGTTAATGTTTTGCAGATGGTTTTTTAATTGTTCTTCACAGAAGTTGAATTTCTCTTTGTTTATTGTACGTCAAGTGATTTTTCCTGAAAATAAGTATATGTTAAATTTCAGATTGAAATAAACTTATATTTGCCAGTTCTCAATCTCATTAATAGCTATCATATTAATACATTTAATCATTAGAAATAAAAAATGATTTTCATTGAAGTTTCAATACCAATATTTTTCTAGCTTAACAGTGTTGAAAATTCTTACATTTCTTGCTGCAGCAGAAATGAGCAATTGTCACTTTTGTACAGAAATCACAATTGAAAATAAATCGGTTGTCAAAATTATGGAAACAGGTAAATTTGATTTATTCTTCGCACAAACAAAAAAATAAACGGCAAAACGAAAACGGAACAGATTTGTTTTTTAAAACGGTAAATTTCATTAATTTTTTTTCAACCTAAAATTTTACAGTGGTCCCAAAAAAAATATTTTATACAGTGGTCCCCAAAATATCTTTTGATACAGTTGTCCCCAAAAACAAACTTTTGAAACAAAGGTACCCAAAAAATCTTTTAATACAATCTTTTGATACAGTGGTCCTCAAAAAAACGAACTATACAGTGGTCTCCAAAAACAATCTTTTGGTACAGTGGTCTTCAAAAAAGCTATCTATAAAGTTGTCTCCCAAAACAATCTTTTGATAAAGATGTCTCCAAAATATCTTTTATTAGTGGTCCCCAAAAAATATCTTTATACAGTAGTCCCTAAGAAAATCTTTTGATACAGTGGTCCCTAAACAAAATTTTCATACAGTGGTCCCCAAAAATATCTTTTAATACAATGGTCCCCCAAAAAAATCTTTTGNGTTTTTTCTTTGAATGATCCAAGTTGTTCATCCAACATAATTCAATAATTTTACACTTTTATCTCGTTGTAGTTGTTAAAACAGGGAAATAATTTTGGATTGGTTTATAATCACTGTTTCCTAAGCAAAGGTAGGTCGTTTTGTTTTTTGACGTAAAAATGTGATATTCTTTTAATGAACAAGTTTTACCTAAAATTGATCCAAAATGTATATGTCTAGTAGTCTATCCATAGGACACTATAGTCAAAGGCCATCACACTTAACCTTAACAAGAAAAAATGTATCAAGAACTGCTCACAATGATATCTAACCATCCCATGAATTAAATATACCTAATAAACTACTTCAAAGTGATGCACTTTTTGACAGTTCTCGGTAATGTTTTGAAGATGGTTCTTCACAGAAGTTGAATTTCTCTTGGCTTATTGTACGTCGAGTGAATAATCCTGAAAAATAATACTGAATTCACATTTAAAAATGAGTAATATTTGCCATTTCCCATAAATAACTTAAAATTGATAAATTCAATTTAAGAAATAAAAAATTGTTTTTCTTTGAAATTTCAAGTGAATTGAGCAAGTTACTTTTGAACAAAAACCATAGTTACTTGGACATTTTTTATTCTTGACATAAAAAAATCTACTAAGGGTATCGTTGTGAATTGAAATTGTGTGTACAGGTCCTTTAACGATCGAAATTCAAACACATTTAAACAGTCAAGAACGTTTAATAATAAATTCAAAAAACGGAAACAAATAATTAAGAGATGAATGATTGTGGTGGGAGGAGTGATAGAAGGCAGGTGGTCATAAGCCACGGCATTTTTCCCCTCCATGCCAAATATTAGATTTTTTTGTCTTCTTGAGGCTATGGGCCACAACCGTTTGGTTTTCCAGGCTACAGAATTTGAGTCTTTCAGCAGTTTTACATTTTTAAATAATAAATATAATGCATTAAAATTTTGATTTTCAAAAATTCTGCAAAGTCTTGCAAAGAACTTTATATTTAAGTGTTAAATTAAAATAATCACAACTCCTTTTAGTGTTTGTTATTTCCTTTAATGCGGCACAATTTTTAAAAATTGCAATTCCAACCAACTAAGTTTATCATTTAAAAACGTAAAATCTGCCAGATGACTTAAATGCTGTGGCATTGAATGGTTGTGGCTATTGGCTGCTGGATGACACAAACGATAAGATGTGGCATGGAAGGGGAAAATGTTGTGGCTTATGGTCGCCTGCCTTCCCCCCTTAGGGAAGCGATCTATCTGAAAGCCCTAGTTTAAGGGCTTGTCATTGAAATATCAAGTGGCCGTAGATTTAAAAATATGGACATGCCCGATTTACAACAGTACCCTTGAATCCTTTATCTTCTCAATTATGTGGAAGATATCCTCGTTTACTGACTATAATTCTGAAAATTCTTAATTTTTATTGCATAAGAAAAGCAAAAATACTTTTGAAGTAAAGTCACAGTTGAAAAATATCTGTTTTAAAATCAGTATGGATGTCTATTTCATTCTCAATTAAACAAAGATTATCAGGGTACCCTTGTAAATGAGACATGCCACTTCATGAATAAAAGGCCAATTTTTATCACACCTATAGTAGAGATCGGCGCGTTACGCTTTTGGTTTCAGTAAAATTGTTTATTAAGAAAAAAACTATTTTTTTTCTTTAAAAAAATGTTCCAAAACATCGATTGATCAGTGCAAGTGTAGTATTTTAAAAGTTTGTTAAAAACTGTTTGATTATTAAAAAAACTATTATTTCTTCAAAATCTTTTGGAAATTTCTTTCGTTCATAAAAAGGATATTTTCCATTGAACATTAATTAATGGTGCAGTTTTGGATTTTTTTGTTTGTTTAAAAAAATATTGTTTCTAGTCTTTAATTCAGAATTTAAGAATGGGTTAAATATTTTTTACTCACCATGCTGAAAGCTGAAAGCGGGCTTGCATTTGCAGTCTAGTGCAGGTTAAAAAAGGCTATGGTTTGTAAGGCAGTCATCCCGGCATACACTTCAGAAAATCTAAACAGAAATAACAGTTTAAAATTATTTAATACTAGGAACCTTTAAAATTTACAAAGGATTGGAAATGTGAAAAAAAATTTAATTTGTATTAAAGTTACTGGTTGTATCCGTTAAAAAAATGCAATGAGTTTAAATAAGGTTGGGAGTGCAGGTGGTTTGGAGTTAAAAAGTAGACTTACATATAATAACATAAAGGGTAGTCAGGAAGAATAGAGCTAGGGATTGAAAGGAAGAGTTCTTGTCCTCAGATATAATCCAATCCTGTTCCACACTTATCACCCTCAATCAAAGTAGTAGTAAATCATAACTCAGACACAAAACCAATTTAGGTTTTACAAAATTACATAGATCATTTAAATAAGATGGTAGATGAAGATTGAATATTGGGAGAAGGCCTCCTAGGGCCCCACCCTTCTAAAAGAAAAATTTGGGGCGCAACTACAGAGAGAGCAGGCACCTTATGTCCCTTTTAATTAGATTTTTTTAAATGGTTAAATTTTTTTTTACACATTATTATGAAAGTTATGAAACTTATCATCATTAATCAAAGTTGTAGGCGATCCTAACTCAGGCACAATACCTAAACTTAATGTAGGTTGTTACTAAACTACATAAATCATTAAAATAAGATGGTGTTTGAAAATAGTCCCTTTTATTATCAATAAAACTGGATTTACAAAACATCATCTTTATTTACAGAGCGTCCCATATCATATAGAATTATCTCTACGCTATAAAGACTAAAACACCCACATAATACTTGAAAACCAAGCATTTTCTGCAAGAATTTTTTTGACATGGCCTTATTAAATTTTTTAAACGATTTATTTTCCTTAAATTTTTAGACAGTCGCGGAAATCATAATTTACAGTCAATAACAATCCGATATACTGTGGGACACACTGTAAAAAACTTTCATTCATTGAACGTTAAAGTTATGTTCCTTAAACCTTAATATCATATTAAGTTTAGTTTTGATTAGTAAAAAATTCAAAATATTAGTCAGAATGTTTTACCTTTATGACCAATTAGTACAGCTATCATCAACATCTTCATTTCAGTAGTTCCTTATATTCAGGTACACTGTACAGTACCTTAGATTAATTAAGATTTTAAAGTTTGAGTTTGTATGTTTGTATTGTAAAAAATGATGTTTGGAATGTTACTATTTTAAAGATCCAGGAGATGTGCAAAAATGTGCCATCAATATGTTATAAAAATAAGATATTTTTTGAAGCCAAAATTTAACTCAAAAAATGCTTGGCGGTTCAGAGGGAGGGGTTGCTGAGCCACATGAAATAGCCAGCCGAATATCAAAGTTTTCATGTAACTCATGCCGGCCTCACTTCCTCTCCCTTAATTGGTTGAATTTACCTTTGGCAAATGATCTCATGAATTCCATTCCCAGGTCTCATTCGATACAGATCAACTTTATCATATTTTAGAATTTAAAAAGTTTAAATTTGTTAAGTTATTTAAAAGTGTCCAAAACAGTAACATTTTCACCTCTATGAACTTTGCAATTTTAAGTAAAAAAGCTTCAATATTTAGATTTAGTCCTCTTATATATTTTATTTTAAAGAATCATAAACTGTTAAATATTATGAATCCCAAAGTTGCCCTGAACATAGCCCTGAAATAAACATCAAATAATTTTCTGTCATGGAAATTCCAGAAAATTTAATTGCAAAGGATATCAAGGAAATTCTTGATCTAGTGAAAAGTGGTTTAAAAATGAAAGGCAAAGTTAGTGTCCAATTTTCTGCCAGAATTTTTTTCAGAATTACCAGAAAACAGAATTTTGGTCATTTTTGTCTCGAAAATTCCAGAATAACCAACTACCAACAGAAAATTTCCCAGAATTGACGGCTTCCGGCGAAATTTTAAATTCATTGTTAAATTGAATTCAGCATATAAAAAATGCTGGATATTCAGCCAGAAAAGGTGTTAACAGCACCCTTATCATCAGAAAAAAAATCTCTGGCAAATTTCCAGCGGAAATGGAAACCAAATTTCCCGTAGGATACTCTAAGCTAAGTACTTTCAACTCCTCATAGTAGATATTTTTATGGAAATTGTTTTAAAGGGGGGGGGGATAAAACTTTTATAATAATAAAAAATAACCTTTGTGTTGATTTTCTTCAAAGATTTGTGTTTTCTTCTTACAGCCTAATTCATTTTTGCAAGTATGACCATTGACCATCTAGAAAAAATAAAGCAACATTTAACAACAAATGCATCTGAGTATAGAAATTAGTAATCCCTGTCTGTTTATTTATAACAATTCGATCGATTTGCCTCAAATTTTGATTGAGAACTTGGTAGGAAAAACAGCGGGAATCTGTTTAGCTTGACTTAAAAATTCTTAGATAACTTTTAAGAGAAAACTAAGGTACTAGACAAAGCTGGGTTCCCAAGCTAGTAATACAATATGGATGCAAAAGCTGCCCTTACATGAAACAATTTTTATCAAATGTATTCAAATCAAATTTCGTTTTTGGTCAATACAACATAATAATTCAAACTTTTAATAATGTTTACATTAATGACTAAAATGATTTGATACAGTAGAAACTGAAAAAAGTTTATAAGATATAACCGAACAAGCGAACAGACGAGTAAAGAATATAAATAGTGTGAGAAACAGAAAACTCTGGAATAAGAGGGCGAATTTTAGATTAAGTTATGACTATAAATGTGTGTTAAAAGTAGTTTTATTTGTTTCGTTTTCTAAAACTGCCAATTATATTTATAGTTTCTTGAAACTGCTTTATGATTGTTTTAAAAAACAAAAATGAAAATTTTTCCGTACCAACTCATTCATGTAGGTGGTTTTTGTCACACATGGTAGCGTTGTAGTAGGTTCATTCCTTAACTTCTTCTAAATAAAAAATCTTATTTTATTACATAATATTAAAATCTATACTTAAAAGATAATCAGTAGGTCGGAAACTACGAAGAAATGAAACTGTTGTCTAACCTCAGATTCATTTTTCCCCAAATCCCTTCCAAACTAACTGTAGACAACTTATCATTTTTCCTGAAACAAGGATTGTAACATAAACAGATTATAAACTTCGTACATATTTTAAGTTGGTATACGAGGTGTCACTGAATAAAAAGTTTGTTTAAGGTTTTTAGCCTAGTAAACATCAATGTAATGTGTTAGAGTGTGCTCCAGTAGGTACGTCACCCATAAATGGGCAGATATATTACTGCAATAGTGTACATGGTAGGTTAAATGCCCATAAATTGCAGTAAGGGTCATCGTTCAAACATTTTAATCTTAAACGCCGTTTTAGCCTTAAAAATTTAATTAAAAATTTAAACAAAAAATTTAAATTTAAAAACCCTCAATTGTCATTTCTATCATTGAATATNTGTCTCAAATAACCTAACCCGTGGCCGCAGCGCTCGGCCCCCTAGCCTGTCCTACCCGCAGCGCTCGGCCCAGAAAGTGTGGCCGCAGCGCTCGACCCCCTAGCCTGTCCTAGCCGCAGCGCTCGGCCCAGAAAGTGTCTTAACCTAACCTAACCCTAAATAATAATAAATAAATGGATATAATTGACCATGTGGCCATAGCGCTCGGCCCCCTAGCCTGTCCTACCCGCAGCGCTCGGCCCAGAAAGTGTCTTAACTAACCTAACCCGTGGCCGCAGCGCTCGACCCCCTAGCCTGTCCTAGCTGCAGCGCTCGGCCCAGATAGTGTCTTAACCTAACCTAACCCTAAATAAATACTAATTTAATTGAAAATTGTTGAAAAAGTGGTCATGTACAAAATTGATAGGACGGGGGGGGGGGGTTCAAAAAACGTGCTCTAGGACGGACCCCGATTTTGGTTTAATTTAATTAAATAAAATCTAAACAAAATTCTTATACTATCTCCGGAAATATTGACAGCACATACTTTTTGATTGGACATACAGGGTTACCCACAAAGGACGAGACTTCAGAGACGGCTCTACGGAATTTTTAAGTACATCTGTCATATTCATCATTCCCTGAAACTGATTAACTGATTAAATAAGCCATAAAAAGGTTATATTCAAGGCAAACAAATTAAATATCTTTGAATCCGTATATTTTTTACAGGTTTCAGGTCGTCTTGATAGTCTCATTCTTTGTGAGTAACCCTGTAGGTTGATCGGATACATTGTAAAATACATACAGGGTGTCCCACGAAACATGACAATAGGAAGACGACTTGAAAGTCGTCTTTGGTATTTGAATT